GATAGAGGGGAGGAGGGGCAGAGAGGCTGTTTTTGTCTCTTCGGCAGCCTGTTGCTCAGGGGAGGGGGCAGCCTGTTGCTGGCAGGGGGAGGCACTTTTCCTCTGCCCAGCAGCTCTGCGGGACCCCAGTCGGAGCCGGCCCGAGGAGGAGGAGGATCCTAGGACCCAGGTGAGCGAGCCCGGGAATGCTGCTGCGCATGTGCAGGAGTTGCCTCACCCCGTTCGTATCTAGGGATCCGACGTAAGTCGGATCCATGTAAGTCAGGGACTGCCTGTACTAGAACAAAAAGCCCACACGCAAGAACAGGTTTCCTTGAAGTAGGCTACTATTAATACTAGCCAGCAGAATGCCAGACTTCATGTTACCATTTTTAGGTTTCTTAATAAATTTTATGCCAAGATTTGCTAAGCCAGAAATTTGAATGTGAAAATACCTGAAACGTTGAATATGCAGACGTATTTATTTCAATGGAGTCAATTCTGAAGCACAATCCGTGTTTTAATGTCAGTCTTAGTGTAACGTAACTGTAAAAACCATTGATCTAAGTCCACTGTGTGAATCTCAAGAGGAATAATCACAATCCTTTAAAATTGGTATTCTCAGGGGTAACATGGAGGAAGGCTCCAACATGTCCATTTACTGATAAGATGAAAATACATCAGGTATGTGGTTGGTGCAAATAAACAGAACACTGATTAACTGGACAACAAATCCGCGGCTCAGTTTAGGCTCAAGAAAGCACTCTGAAGCCATTACAAAGAAATAGCAAATGAGAATAGACGCCCATGGAAAACAAAAGTTTTATTTAAATGAAACAAAAGTGAACTTCAGAAAAGTCCTTTTACAAAAGAATACACTTGGTAGTCTAGAGAAATTAATAAACTTTCAATGTTAAAAAGATAGTTTAACAGCCAGTAAACCCATGGGGGGGGAAGGGGTTGGCCTACAAATCTGAATTTGTAGTTTTAACAATTCATGATAGATACACCATCTTAGTCGCACTGTTTGTCACATAAATCACTGTCTTGAATGAGCTGTTGAACTGCCACATGCAAATTAAGTGGACAAATATCAAAGGGTTGCAGTTCATAAAATCTAAGCACTTAAAAATGGGTTAAAATAAATGTAAATTTTAGTGCCTATTTCTACCAACATACCCCTTTTTATGCATCCTTTTTGTATTGTATGAATAATAAAAGTTAATCACAGCTTTTAAAACAACTGAAGATACTTACAAGAGTGACAAGATATTAGAGTAATAATTAAACAGATTTTGGACTTTGGTTTTTAAAAGTTATCACAAAATATTCAGAGGGGTAGCCGAGTTAGTCTGTAACAGGAAAAATGTAAACAACAAATAGTCTGGTAGCACTTTAAAGACTAACAAAACATGTAGATGGTACCATGAGCTTTCGAGGGCAAAACCCAGTTCTTCAGATTCTGAAGAAGTGGGCTTTGCTCATGAAAGCTCATGATACCATATACAATAAAATAGTTGATAAGTTTAAGTTGATAGGTATCAATTTATTGGAAATTAAGTGGTCTATGGCAAGCGTTGAGCAAAATGAACAGGTGGAACTAAATCACAGTAAGGCTGGAAAGGACCTCAAGAGGTCAACTGTGAAGGTTAACGATTATTGCTTAGTCTTGAGATAAAAATTGTTTAAAACCAAATGAGATTTGATTAAAAATTACATACCCATTAAATCCAGTGACAATTTTCAGGATTCGCTCCTTCATCTCCTCAAAGGGAATATATTCCACATTTGGATTAGGGGGGCCTCTCGGTTCAGGTGCAGAGGTTCTGAAGTCATCCATCACTTTCTCCAGTTTGAAAATAAAATAGCCTTTAAACTGAGACCACTGAATCCTAAATAAAAAAGGTTAAATAAAAAGTGGTTTAAGACACACACAAAATATCCATATTATAACTTTGTATAGATCAAAAGCAAAAATCTTAAAAGAGATGAATTTTTACAGCCAGGGAGTTCAAAGATTTAATGATTTTAAGCATATAAAATGTCTCAGTTGGCTAAGACTCTTCCAAGAATTGTACACAGGACGAAAGTAAATACTATCTTTAACAAGAAGGACATCAACACCATTTTTACCAGAGGTGAGTGTCAACTGCCAGACAGTGAATGAGAGAACAGGTAGGGCAGAAGGTTCTCTATGAAGGACCCTGAAAGTGAAAGCTGGCTTTCCATGTGTACCAGCTCCCACCCACTCCCCTCCCCCAGAGGCAGCAAGGGTGGGAGAGCTGGCTCGCAGGAGCTGACATGCAGAGAGCTGGTTTAAAAGCCAGCTCCCAACTTTCTCCCCACCCTACACTTGCTGCCTAGTCATTAGGATTACCCAATAAGCCCAGACTTACTTGTTAATCATGTAACTGACCACACACTAACATCCCTAAAAAGAACCAACAGCACACTTAGAGTCCACAAAGCAGATAAGACACATGATAACATCACACGCTGCTTTTAGAATTCTTGTTCTCATTTTAAATATCTAAGATCTTGCAGAATTTTTGAATGAAGTAGGAGCAGATAGTGGAAAGTGTGTTAAAGATGAAATGATATAGACCACAGCTGCTTGATAATGGGGAGTAGGCATGTAAAATGTTTAACCAGTTAAAGGGAGCATGGGTGCAGGCAAGGGCTGCTCTAGCCACAGGCCCCCCAGCAAAGGCATGGGCTGCTCTAGCCCTGTCTGTGGTGGGTCTGGGTAAGGGCTACTCTGGTCCTCCAGACAACAGGTTAACAGTTAACAGGAACCAGTAAGCATCACCTGTTAACTGGCTAACCTTTCACTTCCCTAATGAAGAGGCAGTTGAGGAGAAAGAGCAAAACAAGGAATGAACACTGGAGCCATGGCCATCCGTTGGCCATTTAGATCAAAAGAAGTCACCATCACTTGATGCTGCTTCAGCATCAACAGTATCTCATATGAAATACTTCCATTCCCTCTTATTAACCTGTTCACTTGTCTCTTTTTCCACAGCTGCCATATTGAGCAGATGTATCTATCTTCTCTAGCTTATTGTATGTACCGATCAATGCCAAGTGCTGGCCCAGGCAAACAACCTTTAGCAGTTAATATTTTTTCCTTGCATTGCTGCAAACTCATAGAATTTAGTCAGAAGTAGAAGCCCCTTTGAAATGGAACTCTGTGTAAAGAAAGGTCAATCACTATAGAAGCCATAAGCAAGCCATCCCCAGATTCCCAATCTGTCCAGGAATATCTTCCTACCAAAAAATGTTAGGTTGATGGGAGAAGCAGAAAAGCAACCAAAAAACTGGCACAGAGGCAGACTAGGGCTATTGAGTGCAGTAATGCATGCTTAACAGCAGGGTGGGATAGCAACTAACAAAAAAAGACGAGAGTCATCACCAACAGATACGTTTTCTGCCTATAATCCTATCATTCCTAGACTGTTGTGACTGTTTCCCATGTGCAGATTTCAAGTGAAGACATTTATCTAGGTAGGACTGCTAGAAACAAGTTCCTTGTTTAGAAGAATTGCTGAACACACAACTTCACTGAATCTTTAAGAATATTGTATCACCTCGCACAAGCTTAAGTTAGTGCTTTTTGCTTGCACCTGCTAGAAAAGTTAGACCATGAAAGTGAAATTTAAGAGACTGAGGGTATGAATTTGGTTTTCCAATACACCATCACTGAACACAAGAATTTTCACACACAACCATCTTAGTAATTTGCATCAATTTGATTTAAAAATCAAGACTACTAATTCAACTTTGGAAGTTATGGGCACAATTTAGACATACAATTGCACACCTATAGTTTGAAAATTGAACCCTTAAATCAATTTACAAAAGACTATCAAAGGTGGACTGTTTAACAGGTATATGAAGTTTATTATTTGTCAAAAGCACAAATACTTAGATCTATTCTAAACATGACAAACAAAATGCATGCCAATAATTCAGCACCTGAAGCATTCCCACAAGAAGTCAGTAATCAGAAAGGAAAAAATGAAAATAGGCTGATTTCTGTTTTAAGTAAAGCAATATGTACAGTTTGTCAAAAACACCTTGAGAATGCCCTCTTCAAACTAAGATACGTAAACATAGCCTTTTGCTACAAAGGCAGATGTTTGTGTGAATCAACAGAATTTCTCCCCTTGAGGAATAGCAGAAGCTGAACTACAGAAAGCTTCCACCAATGAGCAGCTTAATGAAAATAAAAACAGAAGAAAGTAATTGTATATGTGAAGTTCTTACAATAAAGAATAATTTAGAAAAACGTCAAGCTCTTAAAAAAATATCCAACTGAGGATTCTGCATGGAAAAGACAGTACTCTCAAGATAATGCACCCACTGAATAGGCATGCAAAAACTTTCCCCTGACATATGTCATCTCCATATCTGCACACTAAGGTAAGTAGTTCTTCCCAAATGCAAGCTGAGGTAAATAATGGTGCCACAAGTTTTTTCTTGACACTAAGAGTTTATACTAGCAATTTAAAAGAACCCTGGATGGCAGATTATTTACATGTGTAACTTATGTTTTAAAACATGTTCCAATGAGTATTCCTCCACATTGTACAAATACTTTTAGAAACAGTACTCTGAGTGAAAGAAAATCAGCTTGTCTTAAAAAGTAAAAACTAGAACACTCTGGCTAACAAATATTTTTAAGTATACCCAAATTCTATGCATTTCTTAAGTGCTCAAATAGCTTGGTCACCTACTATCAATGTATTTAATGTCAATAACAGTGCAACAAGAAAAAAAATTAATTCCCAGCTATGATGCAAGTATGTAACAAGCAGCATTTTTATCAATAATAATGGCTAATGCAACCCAAGGCTTGAAACACCAAAGTATTAAAATGGTACAGTAACTTAAACCTGGAAACTGCTACACTTTAATGTTATCTGCAGTTTGGTTTCTCCAGTTGAGATTTCCTATTTCATGCTGTACTCCACAAATCAAACAAGACACAATGTTCTAGTTTTAAAAACCTGTTAATCACTACTGCTACATAGCAACAGTAACCAAACACTCTGCACTAGCATAAAAAAGCAGTCTCTGATATTAAACTCTAACAACTAAAGAATAAAGAAAACATGTAGGGAACAGAAAGAAAGATTTAAAAACAAAAAAGTTATAGAAATAGGTTGAAATTTAAACCCGGGACTGAAGAAAATAAATAAGGAAGCAACCAACACTGGAGTTGATACTCAGAGATTTTCCAAGTAGAAAGTGAGATTTGATGAAAAGAGGAGGCTTGCACAGAGACATAGAATCCATTATACGGACAGGAACAAAGGACAGAGTGAGGAATAGACAAACTGAAGCAATAAGAAGAGTGGACAGAGATGAAGATGCAAGATGGGAAACAAAAGGAAAAGATGAGGTCTCCATTGTACACTGTTTTGCCAAGGAGTTTGACCCTTATGGGTCAAAGCAATAAGTTGCTGGGAACAATAGCATGGTCAAAGCAGAACACAAAGATGGGTTTTATTGGCTAAAAGTTGAATGAGAGAGAGAAGAAAGTTAGTGAGGAGATAGCAAAAAAATATAATACTTCATGGCGAGAATGTTAAAAACCAAGTAACTGTATTGAGTACATAATTAGTCAATTTGTATCAAGTACACAATTAGTAAATAAGAGGGCCCGCTGCAGCAGGACAGCCCAGCTCCTATTACATTTAAACTGCAGAGCCACAACAGGGAAAGGTCCCAAACCCAGCACGAGCTGCAACTGATGAGTCCTGGCTTGCACCAGGACCTGAACGTACCCCGCTGCAGCTTACCACATTTAAAAGGCTGAGTAATCGCAGGCTAAGTTCGGGGATCCAGCACAAGCTGACTTCTCCCCCCTTCTACCTGGGGAAATGGTGCTAGCGGGAACTGGATTTTAAGCCAGCTCCCACTTCCCTCCACTTGCTGCCTCTGATAGAGGCAGTGAGGGAGGGGGAACAAGTAGTCAACTAATCAGCTACTCTTTTACATCCCTATTTCATGGGAAAGATCATAATAAGCCTAGAACTGGAAATAGACAGGCAACAGTGAATTTTAGAAATGAAAGAAGCAAAATTTGCTGAGGACCTGAATGAAAAAGGAAATAAAACTGAAGAGTCAAAGGTAATTCAAGTTGCAATTATATTGCATAAAGACGAGCGGGAATAAGAACTGCTTCTTCAAAAGCGCACATATTACCCAATATAGATTCCTTGTCACAGTTTAAAGTTATACCAATTCTTTGAGGAATACTTTTCCAACCTAAGGAAAGGCTGCCTTTCCCCCATAGCTTGACATTGTCTGCTACAGTTTTCATTCCTCGTTACCATGGCTTCATTACTGAAATGCATTAACAAGCCTTTTAAAGAATGTAAAGAACAGTAGTTCATTCAGAATCTAGTGCTACACTTTGATTTCATGCAAGAACTGAAGCACATGAAACGCTTTACGAAATGCGCTCACTTTGTAGTTCACTACCAAGTTGTAAAATACGGTACATGATACAAAAGCTTGTTTTAACCAACTAACAGAAAATCCATAGTTTCACTGCAAACTGAAGGAGCCCAATCACGCTGTTACTCTCACCTCTTTGGGAGCTTTGAAAGGACAGCAATGAAGTGCTAGGCCCCCTTTTTTGCTCCACCAATCACTTACTTGGAGGCCTTACATTCGCTTAAGTAGGAAAAGTATCTCTCCCCCTCTTCACCCAGTCTACCATGGAAGCCCTTCTCCCTGACTACTAGGAAAAGGGGAAGCTTTTTCCATCTGTTCCCATTCAGTATCAGGCCATTTCCTACTCACCACCAGTGAAAGCATTTTGCATGCACCAGATAAGTTTTATTATCTCCTCACTAGCCTTTCAACTATCCTACCTGGAATG